TTTCTTCATGCACAGGGGTCTTTCATGTCCTGAACCCTGGACCCTAAACCCTAAAAAGCCTTTAAACCCTAAAAGCCCGTACAAAGCCCTAAACCCTAAAGCCCTAAAAAGCCCGTAAATAAGCCCGATTTTTTTGTGCGGGCTGAAGGGCCTTAGCAAACACTTAACGTGACGCGCTCAGTGACCATGTGACAGTTCTCCATGGCCAGACCTCCCCACATCGGAACCTAATATAGAGGGGCCTAAATAATATTACTTAATTCTGGTATAAGGGCCCTCAAAACCCTATTCTAACTGTTAACGCCCTTACATTAAATGTGCAGGCTTCCAGCCTCCATCCTTGATAATCTTGGCATTCGATACAGACAAAATACCACTGCATTAAAGATCGTATCTGACTGAAGGACTCTTCCGTAAATCTCTTTGATCTGGGCATTAAATATGACTCTCTGGGAACTATACCTGTAGTCTCCATTGTAGTTCCTTTTTTGGTTTAACCAATTATATATTTAGGGCTTCTATAAGGTATCCCTTTAACAAAAAAGGAACTACAATGGAGACGATAGGTGATCCCTGAACCCTGGGTCCTACAACAAACCGCTTGGGGCACTGGTCGTGTTTCGCGGTTGCGCCAGCTATTGTCCCTTCTCCAGTCGGTGAGGTACAACCAACCGGGCTCTGCTGTGGAAAAACTGTAAGCCACCTCCTGAAATGCACAAAGCCCTAATGGCTTAGGATTTAAGGGCCTGAAGCACCATGCAGCACTAACTAAAGCGATGCTTGAAATCTGCACAGACTGAATCAAGACAGACCCCCAATCAAGAACAGTTACAGGATTGTCATGAACGCAACATTATGCCTGCCGAAGGGCGATAACCAGACAAGTGTGCCCTCAAGAACGGGAGACCCGCGTACCGAAAAACAATCGCCACTACCTCAAACAGGCTGGGTTGCTCCACGGGGTTAGTCGATTTACCTGCCCCCCCCCCCCCCTTAAATTGACAGTGCCCTCATGTTAGTCAATGTGGGGGGGAGGGGCGGGGCTAGACCCAATTCCTGCCTGGATGTGCAACCGCAAAATCCGAAACCGTAAAACCAGAAACCCGTAACCCCCCAAACCAATGAACAGCCCACAGGTGGAGGCAGAAAAGACGCACTTAGAGCCAGGGCCCTACTCGCTGAAGGGCTTTCCGAGAGGTTTGCTTCATGTTGCTTCCATAAGGCACTGCACCTTCAGGTACAATCACTTGGCCTTGTTCGCTCTCTCTCTCTCTCTCTCTCACTCTCTCTCTGTGTTCAGAGGTATACAGTGCATTGATGTATGCATCATTGATGTATGCATGTATGTATGCACGTGAGTATGCGTGGTTGGATGGATGGATGGATGGATGGATGGATGGATGGATGGATGGATGGATGGATGGATGGATGGATGGATGGATACCGAGACATATCTACTTGTACCGTACTTGCTGCATCCCAGCTAAGGTTTTGCCTGTTAATGGCTGAGGCTGAAGTCCTGTAACCGTCAATCTCTTGCGAAACTAGAGGTCGCAACTCTAGTACAACTCAGCTGTGATCGTGCATAGAAAACCTGTCCTTCAGGAATCCTTTCAACGAGTTTGGAAACTCGCTGCCTGCTCGTGGCTGCTCGATGCAGGCATTATGGACGCGTGGACGGGGTTCCCATCCTCATGCGTGTCGTCCATGTGCTCCAAGTCAAGCTGACAAACAGCCACTTGACTGCATCTTTCTTCCGCTCGACCCTACGCCCAATGCTTACGTTGAAATTTACCTTCATCCCTACCCCTCCTCGCCCCCCTTATGCTGTGTTGCTCTGTTGGGCCCTCAAAAGATATCGAAGCAGCCTGGAAGCTCCCAGGCCCTGATAGCTCAGAGACCAGGAGGGTAGCTCTCTATCTAAATTCGGGTCCCTTTTTGGGGTCCTTTCCTTTTGGAATAAGGGTGCCGGACTATATTGGGGGGGGGTCTCTTTTTGGATCCTTTTTTTATAAGGGTGCCGTTCTTTATTGGGGACCCACTAACCCTAAACCCTAAACCCTAAACCCCTAAACCCTAAACCCTAATTTAGAGAACTACCCAGGGTCATCCGACCTGGCCGAAGCGCAGGCTTTCGGGGTTCGAGCTTCCGGCAAGTGCCGGGACCTGAAACCCTAAACTCCCTAATCTAGGGGTCTGAATAACCACGGTTTAGGGTTTAGGGTTTACCTACACTATTCTGGGGGACTCCTTATTTCAATTACAGTATAATATACCCCCCCCCCCAAAAAAAAA